TAAGATACCACAGGCCGCATGACACAGCCAAAAAAAAAAGAAAAAAACAACAACAACTGAGGATTATAGAGATTAATTTGTCCAAGGTCACCATTAATAGTAAATGGTAAACCAGGATTTGACCCCAGGCAGAGAGTATGCTTTTTTTTTTTTTTTGCGGTACGCGGGCCTCTCACTGTTGTGGCCTCTCCCGTTGCGGAGCACAGGCTCCGGACGCACAGGCCCAGTGGCTATGGCTCACGGGCCTAGCCGCTCTGTGGCATATGGGATCTTCCCGGACCAGGGCACGAACCCGTGTCCCCTGCATCGGCAGGCAGACTTTCAACCACTGCGCCACCAGGGAAGCCCGAGAGTATGCTTTTAATGGCCGTTATATAAGGTCTGCTAGTTGTTATATTTTTCTTTTCTACAGTTAAGCAGATCCCTTTTCTCCTTCAATTTCTTTTGGAAAGATGCTGAGCTTTTTTAAAATGTGTTTCTGTGGAAGATCTCTAGCAATTGTATGGAAAGCTATCAACAACTGCTACAGAGGGTAGCCAACAAAATTATGCTAGGACAATGACAGCCACAAATACAGTCATTTGCAAATCATAATTTTGATCACAGTCATAATTTTGAATAAAGAGAACAAAGCATAATATTATTTTTAGGGTTATTTAATTCTTTCTTCTTTCCCTTCACCTAGTGCTGATCATTCAGTGCAATCAACAGCTGGGGGAATTAAATGCTTTCTTCTTTGGAGACTGTAATACCCTAAAATCCAATTAGCTTAAACCAATTAAAATGCTGTTTTTAAAGCCAAGGCGTTTGCAGGAGGTTGCTGTTAACTGTGGAGCATTTTTCAAAATCATGCAAAGAAGAAAAGAAATGCCTATATCAGAGTATATTTGTGAACTCCAGAGTTCCACCTACGTGCAACCTACGTGCACATAATGTCAATTTTTGGATCAGAAGTTCTCACAGTGTGGTGCCTGGACCAGCAGTATCAGCATCACCTGGGAACTTGTTAGAAAAGACGATTCTACGGCCCACCCCACACCTACTGTCTCAGAAACCCATGGGCGTGGAGCCCTGCAAAGGGTGGTTGAACATGACCTCCAGGTGATTCCAATGCATGCTAAAGCTTGAGAACTGCTATTATAGTCATTGTGCTACCAAAATAACTGCAACTCAGACTTACAGGTGTAACTGTCCTGTGTATCATTCCTCTAGTTAAATACTAAGAAATACCTGCAGTTTACAAGCATTATTTATATGTTTTCCCATATTACAGTTTTGCCTGTCATGAAATTAGATGTAAATTTTTTTAAAAAGTGTTGTTTGAAAAGAAGGCTAATCTTCACTATGTGTTATAGACTGTATTTCATTCTCAGTCCTAAATCAGCATGTCTGGGCACGCTGCTGAGTTGCTAAAAAGTCTCAGAACCTTTAGATGTATACTACTCTCAGCTTGAAAAGTGCCTCTGTTTACATTCACTACCTTCTTATATTTTATAACATTTACTTTATGCTTCCTTGGGCAAAATAAATGTCTTTGAAATGTGAGGTAGATAATATTTGAATCAGTAATAACATAAAGCTTTTCTATCAATGTGGAAAATAGCACTTACCTAAATAGTAACTGTACTATCAAAATAAAATTTCATTTGCACAGTAAGATTCTATTTACACTTGCTGTTTTAGGCAGAAAAGAGAATATGAACTGTAAGTCTAGAATCCTGAGAGAGAGATTTTCCTCTTCTTCCTGATATATATGGTACGCTTTGCATCCTGTGATTCATAATCCACTTGGGTCATGAAACATTGATGAAGGGAAGCCAGTGACAGTAATGGAGTCCTGTTAGGTCAGGCTTCACAGGAAAGGCAGATCATATTTCACTGGTGAAAAGTGCCTCTAATAAAAGGAGGTGCCTTGGGAAAAAAATTAGTGCTTTCTCTTTCTTCTCCTAATGACATTCATGACATTATTATACAAATGCACAAAGTTTATTTCTTACTATGTGCCCACATGTTTAAAAATTTATTTGTTTATTTCATTCATGAAGGAACCAGCAGGAAGACAAAAGAGTTGGTTCCAAAAGCAAAGGATTAAGGAACAGAGATGTATATAGCCCGTTGGGAAAGAAATGCCAAAATAAGTTTACCAAGATAGATGTAAGACTGATTAACTTTCTACATGACAGTAAAGTTCTGTCATCTTTGGGGTTAACTTCTCTACCAGGCTCTAACACCCTAACAAGCTATCAATTCTAAAAGGCTATAAATCATCTGCACCTTTATATTTGTTAATCAAATATATTGTCACCCAAGAGCGTCAGATGAGGGTTGAAGTGGGCTGAATGGTGGCCCCCCAAAAGATATGTTCACATTCTGATCTCTGGAACCTGTATCAATCTCCCCCTTCCTGCCTCGATTGTCTGGGTTAGAATAAGGTAGTAGCTTCCACAGGGCCCAGAGAATACGGGAGGATGCTTGTTCATGATGGCCACTGGGTCTGGCCCACCAGAGAGCAAGGCACTGATGCCAGGGCAGGCCCCGACCAGCCCTCATGGCCCTCCCGTTTCGGACCAGAGGCGCTGCTCCAGAGGTCTCAACCCTGAGCTGCTCACAGGCCTTGCTCTTTACTAGGCACCCCACCTGGGCATCCTGCAGCCACTCCCCACCCCCAGAACCAGGGCTTGCTAGCACAGAGCTCTGCCACTCCAGGTGCAGGACGAAAAAAACAAATCCCTCCCAATCTCCTATAAACCCTCTTTAGACTCCAGACTGGCCAGGAGACCTTGAGAGAAATATCTTTAATTCAGTCATTCATATATCCCCTGACAGCATATTTTCAACCAATATTTGCTGATTTTTTATGGAGCACCAACTATTTGCAGGAGATGCCAGGGATACAGCAGGGAATAAGTATATCAAGGAGGAGAAAACATATATTAATGTTCAAATAAATTAACCTTTCACATTCATTAAAGCAAAATGCAGTCTAAGACTGTTATTTATGCTCAGAAATTTTCCTATTACTTTATTTTTATTTTCAGCCCACACTCTTTTAGACGGCTTCTTGGCTAACACCCTCAACCATGCATGAAACTCCAAGGGACAGCTTTTCTATGTTTTGCATCTTCCTAAAGTGGCCAGTTGAGCACAGCCTCCTGTGAGAGGCAGTGCGTCCAGTGGTTAGGCACATGGCCCAGAAGCACCAGCCCTACCACTTAACTAGCTGTGAGACTAGGGGCAAGTTTTAGTTAATTACTTAATTGCTCTCTGTGCCTCAAAGTCGAGGAGTTAATGGTAGGACCCACCTCAGGCTGCTGAAAAGACAACATGAGTTGTAGTAAGTAAAGGACTTGAAGCAGCATCTGGCATTTAGTGAGCCCTGGTATTCCCCCTGTGTAATCATTAAAGAGGGGGGTTCCTCCTGAGGACCGGGGATGGTGGAGAAAGAATGAAAAGCAGCTGAGCGGAATAGATGGTAAGTGCTGGGTGAAGAGCAAAGTTTCACTATAGTTTTGGTTCTCAAACATGACTGCTCTTCAAAATCACCACAGGAGCTTTTCAAACTTAATATAATTTTCAAACAATTTAATTCCTGGGCCCCACATTCAGAGGTCACTTCATTGGTCTGGGGTGGGACCCAAGCCTGTTCAAGTAATTCCCATAGAAGTGGAGGCTGAGCATCCTTGCAGGACAGCAATGTACCATCTGGCCGAGGAGCCACGCCTGCCCTGCAATGAAAGGGGGCGGGGGACTCCACTCCGGGCCTCTCTCCTCCTTCTCCCCAGACCTAGCTGCCTTAGCAGTGCAATCCCTCCTCCCGCAGTCCATCCACAGGCATCCTTGGGACATGCATCACTTGTCAGGCCCTGGGCTTGGGAGGGGGCAGTACAAAAGTTATCAGACAAAATCTTATTCACGTGGACCTCACAGCAGAGAAAGAAAATAGAGAAGAAAGCAAGCAGTTACGTGGAGAAATATCGAAACACTCTGAATGCTCATAGAGCTCTAATTGAAGTACCGTATATACTTACTAGGAAATCCCTGCGGAAAGACTGAGGTAGATCTGTAAGTATGAAATGTGGAGACTCTCCAAGGTACATTGTTGAATAGAAAAAGGTAAACCACAGAACAGCACATCATTTATGTTTCAAAAAGCTTTTTGAAAGACGTTACGATATTCTATCTATGGGTGCATAAATATATGTAACTTCAAAGAAAAAAGATCTAGAATTACACCTCTTATTTTCCATGATTAATTTTTTTTCAAAAAGAATGTATTCATTGTTTGTGAAATTTAAAATAATAACGTTTTTTAAATTCCAGCAAACTCTTTGTGGGGGGTCTTCTGGAAATATTTGCATTTAGCGAAGTTAAGATGTATATCACATTGCCTGTTAATTGTGACAAAGCAGTTGGCATTACCAGACATGATTTTATCTAAGTGACTATTATTGAGCAGAGAGCAATGTCCTTAGGAAATGGGACGTGAGACAGATGTGTGCCAGTAGAGATAAGGCAAAGGAAGGAGAATTCGGCATGAAGCTCAGCTGAGTATAAGGAGAAAGACCTAGCAGCTACCTTCCCTGTCTGCAACTTTCACAGTTTCACCTGAGGCTGGTCCTCCTAACAAGCTGAAATCTCGAACATCAGCTTCCAGGTCTAGCCTACTAATAGAGATTCTCCATCTTAGCTGCATATTAGAATCACATGGGGAGACTTACTAAAATAGCAATGCCTTGAACCAAGACCAATGAAAAGTAAGGTCTTTGGGAGGTTGGGCCTGGGCGTTGTTTTTAATACGACCAGGGCTGAGACTCACTGTTGAAAGGCGCATGCACGCACCCTCCCAGTTTGGACACCCTCATGCTTGCAAAGTACTCCAAAAATGGCATCAGTTGCAGGTGCTTCTTAAACTCTAGGGGACTATGGGAAAAGGAAAAATATTTACATTTTTGTATTATGTGATTCCGAAATGATAACACCATGTGTTTGGTTTATTTCAGGCTCGACTGACCAAAGAACAACGCTGGGGAAGTGCATTGCTTTCCAGAAACCACTCCTTAGAAGAGGAATTTGAAAGGGCAAAAGCAGCAGTGGAGGTAAGTTTTTTGGTTTGTTTTATGTTTCTGAGAGTGGAATTCAAAAAAATCAAACTTCAGCAGGATACATATTAAATGGGTCTTTATAGACATGAAATAATCATGACTGATTGTTGGAATGAGACGTGTTACCAGAGAACTTTTTTTTTTTTTTTTTTTTTTTTCGGGTACCGGGGCCCTCCCCCTTTTTGCCCCTCCCCTTTCCGGGGACACGGTCCGGACGCGCAGGCTCAGCGGCCATGGCTCACGGGCCCAGCCGCTCCGCGGCATGTGGGATCTTCCCGGACCGGGGCACGAACCCGTGTCCCCTGCATCGGCAGGCGGACTCCCAACCACTGCGCCACCAGGGCAGCTCACCAGAGAACTTTTGACTTCCCACCCAGGGTGACTAATAGATGTCACCTCTTACGCCAATTCTGTGGTAGATTAGTAGTGACTTCTGGAGTCTTGGGTCAGAAAACTCTGAGTCTTGCGTGTATCCCATGATGAACCTATGCTATGCATTTGCTATGCTTCTGTGAAGCCAGGGTTCATGCCTGATGTTTTTATCTCTCTGGCATCTAGCTCAATGTCTGAAACATAGACGGTTTTACTACCCCTGAAATAGTATACATTTTCCTAACTGGGTGGGGGAAAAGGGCAGGGCTGAGATATTCTAATCAATGGATAGCCCATCTTGACTTGAGCCATAATTTATTTTACTGTTAAGGGTGTCCAAAACAATGACAATGTTGATAAATCAAATGAAACATTTAATTTGAACATTACTTTCCTTATTTAGCCTTCTAAAGAGAGATAGAGAGAGGCAGAGAGAAGGAGGAAAGAAAGGGAAAAGGGAAGCCAGAAAAAAGCATCCTTTGCTGTTTTTTATGCATTTCCTTCCTGGGTAAAAGTGCAAAGAGTGCATCACAGGTGCCATCTATGATTCTCACCAAAGCTTTGCTAGAAGGCTATTTGAGAGTTGAGCTTTTCACCCAACCCAAGTACGAACTTGCCCGGACCTCTATTTCTATTACTGATGTGAAATCTTGAAACTTGAAAGTATTCCTGTAATATGGTTCATTTATGTGGCCATCTTACCTCTGGAATTTGGCTGAAATTATTATACTACGGGCAGTCTTTCAGTAACTCCATACTTGAAGTGCAATTAAATCACACTTGCAATTTAATATTAAAAAGATTCTTTATATTCTAGGAAATAATTCCAGCCAAATTTCCTATCATCATTCAGAAACCTAATAAGAGAACACTTTTATCTCATCACAATACAATCCACCCAAATTTCTTCTTTTACTTTTAACCTTTTTAATTAAAATAAAAGTTAAGGCATATTTAGTGCTCTTGAACGTGATCAACTGATAGATTTGATTGAGACCAGCTGAGTTCAATTAAGTTCAACTGCATGGGGCCTGTAGCTCAGTTTATCTTAAATGTAGATTCTTCCAGACTTAAGAGCTAATTTAAGTTTCTTTTGAGCTCCTAATGTGTATAGGACACTGAATTAGCATTAAAAAGAAGATGATTTAGAACCATAGAATCTTGGGGCAGTAAAGATTTTATAATTTATCTGGTCCCATTTATTTTTATTTTTTTTAACATCTTTATTGGAGTATAATTGCTTTACAGTGGTATGTTAGTTTCTCTGGTCCCATTTATAATGAGACAATGAGTTCAAACTCAAGACTTAATTACAAAGACTTAGATACACAGATGGACAATTTTTTCCTTGTTGATATGTTACTTTGTAACTATTCATAAAGTCAGTTAATCTTAGTTTTGGTAGAGACCTTAGAAGTCATCTATCCCAACCAGGCATACAAAACAATTTTTTTTCTTTTCAAACATACTTGACAAATTATTTATTCAAAACATACCCTGTTTCTACTTGAACATTTTCAATTAAGGGCAACTCACTTTTCAAGAAAACCTGTTTCAGTTTTGGACAATCCTAACAATTAAAGAAGCTCTTCCCTGAATTAGGCTGAAATTGGACTACAAGCAACTACCAGTTTTCTTACCTCTGGCTTTGCCCTCTCTGGAACAAGGCAAAATTAGGTGAATCCCTTCTCTACATGACGCCCATTCACCCCAGGAAGCCTTGTTTTCTCCTGGCTTCCCCTTGTCTCTTTGGAATTGAGAGACCAGAGTTGTTATTCCATCTTGTTGCTAATAACTAAATAACAACAAACATCTCATTAACCAATATAAGTCTCATTTTTCCACACCTCTATGGTCCTTTCCAGCTGCAAAATCCTAAAATGCTGTAAGTTACTTGAAGTAGTCATTCAGCAAACATTTGTGCTGGCTGCTGAACTAGGTACAAGAGATAAAGGAATGAGCTAGCTTTGAGTAGTTGTCTAACAATGGCATGGACCAGATGACCAACTCAGACAAGACATTTGCTCCCTTCTACTTCAGTTTCTTCATTATAAGATGAGGGGCTTGGATGTCTAATATACTAAATGCTATACGTTTGTATCTTCAAGTGAAGTGAATGGTAAGTACAGAATTCCCAGCAAAGCAGAAAATGGTAAGCACATTTGCTCAGCTGGAAGCCTGGAACTGAGAAGCTTCCTTAAGGAATGAGGGAGGGTGATGCTGACGGGAAGGTGTGAACAGGTGTGGAGAAAATAGGCGCATGGGGGCGGGGGTTGTGTTTCACTAAGCTGATGGTATATCAGACCTTCAAAACTGCACACACATGTGAACTACTTACTTCCCAGCATTACTCTTATCCAGAGTTTAATCTAAATCCATAGTAGAAGACATAATAAAACGGATCCGAGTCTTGGAAATATACATGTCCCTTGACCCAGCCACTTCTCAGAATTATGCTAGAGAAATAATCATGAAAGTTTGCAACATTTTATCTGTAGAATTTTTTTAAATAGTGAAAATTTGGGAACAGCTCAAGTGTCCCATTACAGAGAATTAACTAAGTTAATATCTCTACAATAAAATGCTATGTAACCATTAAAAACTACATCATAGAAAAATATTTAACATCATGTAAAAATGTCTAGTGATAATTGGAATAATTTATATACTGAGTTTTACAATATGATCCCAACTTGGTAAAATGATAGTAGCTTAATACCTAACATGTTAGAATACATACTGTGTGCCAGGCACTCCCTCGGGAGCTTTGCGTGGATTCTCATTTAATCCTCCCAGCAGTCTTATGAGGAAGGTAATATTACTATTTTCATTCTGCAGATGAGAAAACTGAGGCTTAAAGATATTGCAGACAGTTACGTGGCATTTTATAAGCAATTAAAATAGACTGAAAATGAACAACTCTCATTTAGCAAGTTACAAAGTCATGATTTTCACCCAGACTCCAGAGCCCATATTCTGAATCACTGCACTGTATAAGCATAAAGAGAGTCTGTGCCCTAACCTTAACAGTAGTTATCCTTGGGTGGCTGGATTTGGAGTGATTTCTTCCATTCGCTATCTATATTTTCCAAATGTTCTGTCATAAACATGTATTACGTTGGTAATCAAGGAAGAAGTGGTAAACTATAGACACTATGTTAGAGTCTAAGATTCTTAAGAGAACTAAAAGTGCCACATTCTTCATTTCAAGACCAATAAAGAATGGCAGCACAGACTGGCTTCATCAGAGACTGTTCCAAACACTAGTAAGACCCAGATGAAAACCATGCCTGGAGCAAGTTGAATTTTTCCAAAGTCTCCATTATTATATCACTGATGCCAATATTCCTTCTATTTCACATTCTATTCCATTCTTAAACCCTCATATTTTTTGGTCATCATCCTGCCTCATGACTTGGCACCTGGTTCTCCTTCTGCGCCTAATCCTCTCACAGGCTCCAGGGGCACTGCTCTGCTCTCTATTCCTCTTGCACAACAGCCTCATTGCCTGCTGTCCCCACTCTCTTTTTTTTTTAAAAAACAGTTATTATTTTATTTGACATGTTTAAACAGAGATGAGCATAGGGACTGATTTTTTTTTAACATCTTTATTGGAGTATAATTGCTTTACAATGGTGTGTTAGTTTCTGCTTTACAACAAAGTGAATCAGTTATACATATATCACATATCTCTTCCTTCTTGCGTCTCCCTCCCTCCCACCCTCCCTATTCTACCCCCTAGGTGGTCACAAAGCACCAAGCTGATCTCCCTGTGCTATGTGGCTGCTTCCCACTAGCTATCTATTTTACATTTGGTAGTATATATATGTCCATGCCACTCTCTCACTTTGTCCCAGCTTACCCTTCCCTCCCCATATCTGGAAGTCCATTCTCTAGTAGGTCTGTGTCTTTATTCCCGTCTTGCCCCTAAGTTCTTCATGACCATTTTTTTTTCTTTTTTTAGATTCCATATATATGTGTTAGCATATGGTATTTGTTTTTCTCTTTCTGACTTCACTCTGTATGACATTGTCTAGGTCCATCCACCTCACTACAAATAACTCAATTTCATTTCTTCTAATGGCTGAGTAATATTCTATTGTAAGTGTGTGCCACATCTTCTTTATCTATTCATCTGTCGATGGACACTTAGGTTGCTTCCATGTCCTTGCTATTGTAAGTAGAGCTGCAATGAACATTGTGGTACATGACTCTTTTTGAACTATGGTTTTCTCAGGGTATATGCCCAGTAGTGGGATTGCTGGGTCATATGGTAGTTCTATTTTTAGTTTTTTAAGGAACCTCCATACTGTTCTCCATAGTGGCTGTATCAATTTACATTCCCACCAACAGTGCAAGAGTGTTTCCTTTTTCTCCACACCCTCTCCAGCATTTATTGTTTGTAGATTTTTTGATGATGGCCATTCTGACTGGTGTGAGATGATATCTCATTGTAGTTTTGATTTGCATTTCTCTAATGATTAATGATGTTGAGCATTCTTTCATGTGTTTGTTGACAATCTGTATATCTTCTTTGGAGAAATGTCTATTTAGGTCTTCTGCCCAGTTTTGGATTGGGTCGTTTGTTTTTTTAATATTGAGCTGCATGAGCTGCTTATAAA